GGCGAGAGGGAGGGTGGGTGGAGCCACGGCAAGGATAAGTGGCTCAGGTAGGCCAGGCTCAAGGAAGGATGGGGATCAAGGAGCGGATAGGTGGGTTAGTGCAAGGCGGGGCGGGGCTAGAGATGGTTGGCTCTTTGTTCGTGTGGGCGGGGCAATAAGGAGGAGGGCGTGACCAGGTAAAAGGGTGGGTCTTTGGGCTTGTGGGCGTGGCCAGATACAAGGGTGGGTCTCTTGTGCTGGTGGGCGGGGCCATTACCTTGGAGGGTGGGATCAGGGAGTAGGTGGACCTTTGCAAGAGTAGGCAGTGAAGTCAGTGGAGATGGAAATTACTGGAAGGCGAGGCCTTGGAAGTGGATGAGGACTCTGAATAGGGATTCAGCTTTTCTGAGCGGGTTGCCTCCGGAGGGGTTGGGGATTGGGGGAGGGGCCTGGAGCTGACAGTCCCCTTCCCTCCCCCAGGCTCAAGCAGTCTGGGTTTCACATCCAGCCCCTCCCCTTTCTCCTCCTCGTCTCCGGAGAACGTGGAAGACTCCGGCCTCGACTCGCCGTCCCATGCAGCACCTGGTCCCTCTCCAGATTCCTGGGTACCCCGCCCGGGCACCCCACAGAGCCCACCCAGCTGTAGGGCATCGCACCCTGAGTTGAGGAGTACACGGGCCCAGCTGGCACCAGACTCACCGCAGCCCCTCGCTCCGTCTCCCGGCCCTTGGGGACTGGAGCCCAGGACAGGAGGAGGTGAGTTTAGGGGCCCCAAGTTTCTGAGCGTTCTCAGAGCCCTGGAAGGGAGGACGAAGGGAACTGAACCCTCACCCTGGAAGGAGCGATCATGCAAAGTCTATTTAACAGGACGTGACCTGGCAAGTTGCCCGTTGGGGTGTCCCTAAGTAGGGACATCTGAGCTGAGATTTGATGATGGAGCGATGTCAGTGGGTCCACGGGACAGGCAGGGCCTGGAGGGTCCAAGAAAACGGTGTGACTTTTGCCCTGAGTTAGGCGGGAACCACTCCAACCACCTCTAATTGGAGCCAAGGGGGGACAGGACCAGATTCAGGGGTGGCCTTTTCTTTTGGGGAACGAGGGGGGAGGCTGAGACCCGGGAGGTGAAGCAGTCCCTCACGAGCTGTGATGGAGGTGACAGTGGCAGTACGACGTCAGGGAGGGATGGCCAAGGGAGTGCTGGAAGAATGAGGCAGCGGGGGAGGGGAGGGAGAAACTGCAGTGTGCGCATGCGCATGCGCGTCTGCTGCCTTAGCCTTTAGCTAAGGATGGAGACTGTGGACCCGGATTGGGCTAGACAAGCCAGACCTCTCCATGGGCCACTGTATCAAGATGTCATGAGGGAACCAGCAGGTGGCGTGGTGGTTAGAGACGCTGGACTCCCACATGGCTGACTGTGGTTCGAGTCCTGGACGTGGTGGCTTGCTTTCTCACTTTCTCTCTCTCTCATTCTGTCCTGGTCAAATTAAAATAAATGAATAAACAAAGTTAAGTAGAATAATCCTTTTTAAAAAAAGATGTCATCAGAACGGGAAAAGGAGACCACCTAGGGAGGGGAAAAGAAAGCCCTGTGCTGACAGAAGGCAGGCTAGGGGTGGGAGGAAAGAGGATAGGGTGGGGGTGGGAGAACTCTGGGGGTCACATCAGGTCAGGGTTTCCGGAAGTGGGAAAAGACTCTTGGTACCCTCCATAGGCAAGAACCTAGTTAGGTCCAATTCGGGGGACAGCCAAAGGGGCTGGAGATGCTAATATAGGACAGGATCCGTTTTTTTTTTTACTGTAGGTCGTGTGTGCTCGCCAGAGACAGAGAAAGGGAGAGTGAGCCATCAGCCATCACTCTCCCTGGCTGGATGGCCACACGCAATTTCTTCTCCTCCTGGACACACATGCACCAATTGTCATTTTCAAACTACCGAGTCCAGGATTCGAACAGCACAGCTAGCTATGTGGGATCCAGCTTTTTTTTTTTTTTTTTTTTAGAATGATTTCATTTCATTTTTTTAAAAGAATTACTTTACTTAATTTAATTAATCTTTTTAAATTATTAATATTATTAATTTATTTATTTAGAGAGATTTTTGCTATAGCACGTGCGCTCACCAGAAAGACAGAGAGACATAAAGTGAGAGATCACCCCCCCCCGGGAGGATGGCCACGCTGCAATCCCTTCTCCTCCATTCTCCTCTCGGGATCTTGGGCACGCATGCACACGCGCCCGGCATGAGTTTAAGCCACTGGGTCCAAGCCTCGAACCCCAGTCGACTCTATGGGAGTCTAGCAACATAGCCATTACGCCAACTGCTGGTCTGTCATCATTTTTCATAATTTTTCAAGAATTTTATTTAACTTTATTAGTATTATTTCCCAGTTTGATAAGAGAGAGAGAAAGAGAGAGGGAAATTGAGAAAGCAAGCCACCAGGTCCAGGACTTGAACCATGGTCAACCATGTGGGAGTCCAGCACCTTTAACCACCACACTGCCACCAGCTGGCCCCTCATTTTAAAATTTGATCAGAGAGGGGACCAGCAGGTGGCATGGTGGTTAAGATGCTGTACCCTACAAGGCTAGCTTCATGGCTTGAGTCCTGGACCCAGCAGCTTGAGGATCACTCCTGGCGTGTGTGTGTGTGTCTCTCTCTGCGTGTGTCTCTCTGGTCAAATTAAAATAAATTAATGAGTAAATAAAATCATAGAAAAATGTTCTATTTATTTTTTTAAAAATTTGATCAGAGAGAGACAGAGAGAGAAACTGGAAAAGTGAGAAAGCAAGCCACCAGGTCTGGGACTCAAACCTCAGTTGGCCATGTGGGAGTCCAGCGCCTCAGCCACCATTACTATTACTGTCATGTTTTAATTCGACCATAGAGAGAGAGAAAGTGAGAGAGCAAGCTGTCAGGTCTGGGACTTGAACTGTGGTCAGTCACATGGGAGTCTAGCACCTTAACCTCCATGCCACCTGCTGGTCCAGGACCAGGATTCTTGACCAACCTGGCCAATTCTCCTGCCCTCTACCCCTTTCCCCCTGCCCCCAAGAGACATAGAAAAAGTCGGGAGACATTAAAGGGGTTGAATCCCCCGTGGCCTGCTGCATAGACCAAGTCCTGGACCTGTTAGCTTGAAAAACACGTTGGTATCCCGGCAGATGGCGTAGCAGTGACGTCACTGACTCCTACATGGCCGACCATGGTTCAAGTCCCGGCTCTGGTGGCTTGTCAATTACACTAGGCATGTGTACATGCATGCCCAGGATCCCAGGTGGAGAATGGAAGAGGAGGGATTGCGGCTTGGTCATCTCCCTTGGGGAGTGACTTCTCACTTTCCCTCTCACTGTCTCTGTCTCTCTCTCTCTCTCTGGGGCAAATGCACATATTTGAAGGCAAAAACCTCTAAAAAAAAAAAAAAACGAAAAAGAAATACACCTGGCATGTGCGTGCCCAAAATCCAGGGAGGAGAATGGAGGAGAAGGAATTGCAGCATGGCCATCCCCCCCACCCCAGGATATTTTATTACTTTCTCTCTCTGTCTCTCCCATGCTCACATGCCCTGTAGCGAATTAAAATAATAATTTTAAAAAGCCCATTCAACCCTTCCTGCAGCCTGTGCCTGCCTCTTAAGCTTCCAGGTCCTGCTTGCATACTCCCAATGACGAGGAGCTCACCCCTTACTGGGTTCAGGGCTATGAATGGCATCTTCAGTTCTGTCTAGCACCTTCTCTGCAGCCCCAAGACTTCAGACCATCAGGGGGAGGGGGCTCCAGCTCTTCAGAATAAACCCTCCTAGTTTGGGGCTGAGTCATGGCCCTGGGAAGGACCAGAGGCCCAGGGCAGCGTCTCAGCGGTGCCTGCTCTCTGCATTTGCTCCCTAGACCTGATACCCGCCGCTGCTGACTCTGCAGCCAGGGAGGGCCTAGCAGCTCCACCCCGGAGACCCCGCACGAGGAAAGTGTCCTGTCCCTTGACGCGCAGCAACGGGGACCTGGTAGGGTGAAGGGGCGGGCGGGGCCCGGGGCTACTGCCTTAAGCGCAGGTGCACGCTTAACATGCACTTGCCAGGACAGCCAGGAGAGGGAGAGAACCCCAACCTTGCTGGAATGATAACATGGATATTTAATAAGACTGATGGTGGCAGATACCCCTTGGGGACCTTCCTCAGGAAGGGACCTCTGAGCTGAGATTTGATGGCGGTGGGGCCTGGTGGGTCCAGGAGGGGTGTGAGTTTCCTCCGGGCTCAGTTTGCAGGAACTCCTACTGGGGTACCGAGTGTCCCCTTCCAGTCTCGTTCCCTGAGTCCCTCTCCACTGGGCACTTCGGCCCCCAGCGCTGTCCCCGAACGTCCCAGCTTCTCATCACAGACGAGCCATGGTACGTGCCGCAGGCTCCATTCCGCCTCCTCTGGCCCGGGCGGGTACCTCGCAGCTCTATGCACAGAGGGAGGATCCAGAGCTGGGACCTGTGCTCACTGTCTGTCTGTCCCCTATCCCTTCCCATCAACCCCAGGAGTCTCCCGGGGCCCAAGCCCTGTGGTCCTAGGCTCCCAAGATGCCCTGCCCGTGGCTACAGCCTTCACTGAGTACGTCCACGCCTACTTCCGTGGCCATAACACCAGGTATGTGGAAATCGGGGACAGTGCCAGCCAGGACAGGACAAACGGGGCTCGCTAAAGGCTCTGCATCTGGGTACAGCGGGGGCACCCTTCAGGTGTCCTCCAGAGCCCATTTGCAGGGGGAGGGCCTTGAGCGCTGCGCCAAGCCAGAGGGCGGTGGGAGCCATGGTAGGTGTTTGAGCAAGGGTAGGCATTGTTTGTAGACAGACTCCTCTGAGGATGCTGTAGGCATCAGTTTGAAGGCTGGGCCTGGTCAGGGGGCACCCGGAGGTGAGCTGAGGGCCAAAGTTAGACTAGAGGGGCCGGAAACAGAAAAGACCTTGAAGAAAAGGAAGAGTGGTAGACCCAAAACCCAAGATGACGGGGCCAGCAGGTGGCATGGTGGTTGAGAGGCTGGACTCCCACATGGCCAACCGTGGTTCAAGTCAGGAACCTGGTGGCTTGCTTTCTCTCTCTCTCTCTCTCTCTCCCTGGTCAAGTTTAAATAAATAAATAAAGTTAAATAAAATAATTTTTGAGAGGTTTTTCGCTATAGGGCGTGTGCGCTCGCTAGACAGAGACAAAGAGACAGAAAGCGAGAAATCACCCCCCAGGATGGATGGCCACACCGCAATCCCTTCTCCTCCATTCTCCTCTCGGGATCTTGGGCACGCACGCACACGTGCCCGGCGTGAGTTTTAAGCCACTGGGTCCGGGACACGAACCGTGGTCAACTACGCGGGAGTCCAGCGACATACCCATTACTCTAACTGCTGGTCCCAAATAATTCTTTTTTTAAAAAGAGGTATTTATTTTTATTTATTCATTCACTTAATTTGATCAGAGAGGAACAGAGAGAGGGAAATTGAGAAAGTAAGCCACCAGGTCCAGGACTTGAACCATAGTCAGCCATGTGGGAATGTCCAGCGCCTTAACCACCATGCTACCTGCCGGCCGCTAAATAAAATAATTCTTTTTAAAAAGGAAAAAAGGAATACATAACCCAAGCTGAAGACAATTAAAAAAAAAAAAAAAAAAAACCCGTTTTTGGGGGCCAGCAGGTGGCGCTAGCCGACTGCAGTTCAAGACCTGCACCCACAGCTTGAAAATAGGAGGGGTCTGGGGAGCCCCAGGCTGCAGTGCAAAAAGGGGAGGTGGGGAGAAGGGGCCCACGGCAGAATCCCGAGCTAACGTCCAGTGCCCTGACTTCTCAGCTGCCTCGCTCGAGTTACTGGGGAGCTCACCATGACCTTCCCAGCCGGCATCGTGCGGGTGTTCAGCGGGACGCCACCTCCGCCTGTCCTCAGCTTCCGGCTCATACACACGGCCCCCATTGAACACTTCCAGCCCAACGCGGATCTGGTCTTTAGGTACTGCGTATAGGCCGGGTGTGTGGTGGGGTCTCAGAGGCCTGGGTCTCTCCGAGTCGGAATGCCTGCTCTACCTTGTGGGATTTGCTGTGTGACCTGGGGCCAGTCTCTTGCCCTTTCTGAACCCCACTTTCCTTCCCTTCTTTACTGTCCCATCATTAAGCTAAGTAGAGATTTTCTGGACCCAAAGTGAGTAGGGAAATCGCATCTTTAAGAAGCTCTTGGGATGGGGCCAGCCAGTGCTTTGTGGTTAAGGCACTGGATCCCACATGATGTATTCCATGGTTCGAATCCTGGACCTGGCAGATTGATAAAACACATTGGGGACCTGTGCGTGCATGCCCCAAATCTCTCAAGGGCAGAATGGAGGAGAAAGTATTGGGGCCATGGCTATCCCCCTGGGGGGCGGGGGGGGGGGGGGGGGGACTTCTCATTTTCCTTCTTTCCGTTTCTGTGTCTCCCCCGAGAGCACTCACGCCCTATAATAAAATCTTTAAATAAATAAATAAATAAGTAAATGTCCTCGGGAGGAAGTTCCCTGAGGTTTGGGGTCATTTCTCCGCATCTCTGCAGTGACCCCTCCCAGAGTGACCCTGAGGCCAAAGATTTCTGGCTCAATATGGCCACTCTGACGGAAGCCCTGCAGCAGCAGGCCGAGCAGAACCCGGCTGCCTCCTACTACAACGTGGTGCTGCTAAAATACCAGGTGGGCTGCGTGGGGGAGAGGGAGTCCGGGAGCAGGGGTGCGTAGGCTGGGTGGAAGGGCAGTGCATCCACGCATGCGGATGGCCTCATTATGCAAATCAGGACAGGTGGTGTCTTTATGCAAACGAGAAGGGGCGGGGTTATGTATGTAAATTAGAAGCAATTCATCACACCCTGGAAGCTCAGACTTAGACTTGTCCTTCTGCAAGAATAGGGGCACTCTGCTGCCCCCTGCTGGATACATGGTGTAATACAGATTCTAGTCCAAAAAGTCTTGCTCGGGGCGGGACTCCATGCTTGGGGTGGCCCGTGTACTGCTGGCTTTGATGGTTGCATCGTGCACGGTGTGACATCGGAAGGCATGTCCTCTCGTTCTTGTTCCTCCTAGTTCTCCCGCCCGGGTCCCCAGTCCGTGCCTCTGCAGCTCAGCGCCCACTGGCAGTGCGGGGCGACCCTCACCCAGGTCTCGGTGGAGTACAGCTACCGGCCTGGCGCCACGGCCGTGCCCACGCCGCTCACCAATGTCCAGATCTTGCTGCCTGTGGGCGAACCCGTGACCAATGTCCGCCTGCAGCCGGCCGCCACCTGGTGAGGGCGAGCGGGAGGGTGGGGGAGGCTCCAGGGACCCCATTACCTTCTAGATCTCCCCTGATGTTGTAATGAAAGAATACACCCTGGGAGAGGTGAGTCCTGTTCAGAGCTGGAGTCGTATTATAAGCCGGAACCCTATGGGACATGGAGGGCTGGCCTCCTAGCCTAGTGGTTAGGGAAGCCAGCTCCCACATGGACCCCTGTATGGTTCTTGAATCCCTGCTTTGGTGGCTTAAAAAAACACACCAGGGGCAGGAACCAGCAGTTAGCATAATGGCTATGTCACTGGACTCCCATGTGGTCAAACACAGTTCAAGTCCTGGACCCGGTGGCTTAAATTCATGCTGAGCACATGTGCGTGTGTGTCCAAGATCCCGAGAGGAGAATGGAGGAGAAGGGATTGTGGCATGGCCATTCCCCCCTGGGGGTAATTTTTTCCTTTCTGGTTCTCTGTCTCTGTCTCTCTGGCAAGCGCACATGCCATATAACAAAGATCTCTCTATAAAAAAATTACACCAAGAAGGGGCTAGCAAGTGGTGTGGGTGGTTAAATGCTGGACTTTTATATGGTCCATCAAGTTCAAGTTCTGGACCTGACAGCTTTAAAATCATGCTGGACATCTTTGGGGGTGATTTCTCACTTTCCCCCCTCACTATTTCTCTCTGTCTCTTTCTGGTGAGCACAAGCACCCTATGGCAAAAACCTAAAAAATAAAAAAAATAATAAAATAAAAAAACACCAGGTGGGACTAGCAGGTGGCATGGTGGTTAAGGTCTTGGACACTCCCACATGGCCGACCGGGGTTCAAGTCCTGAATCTGGTGGCTTGCTTTCTCACTTTCTCTCTCTCTCACTCTCACCCTCTGTCTCTCTCTGGTCAAATTAAAATAAATAAATGAATAAATGAATGAATAAAATAAAATAAATAATTATTAAAAAAAAAATAAAAAAACGCCAGGTGAGCCAGCAGGTACCATGAAGGTTAAGGCAGCTGGATCCCACATGGCTGGCTGTGGGGTTCGAATCCCAGACCCGGCAGCTTGAAAGTCATGCCAGGTGCGTGTACATGTGTCCCCAAAGTTCCAAGAGAAGGGAGGAGATGGGATTGTGATGTGGCCATCCCCCCGGGGGGTGATTTCTCGCTTTTCCTCTGTCTCTATCTCTCTCTGGTGAGCGCATATACCCTATTGCAAAAGCCAAAAACAACATACAAACAAACAAACAAACAAAAAACACCAGGCATGTGTGCATGTGTGCCCCAAATCCTGACGGGGTGGAGAAATGGTCTGACCACGCCCCCTTAGGGGGGACTTTCTTCTCTCCCTCCTTCTCTGTCTCTCTCTGCTGAGCGCACACACCCTCTGGCAAAGATAATAATAATGGTAACATCTGACATGGGGGCAGCAGATAGTGTCCATCTCTGGACCATCACAGCTGACCATGGTTCGAGTCCCGGACCCAGTGGTTTGAAACTCACACCGGACGCATGTGCGTGCGTGCCCAAGATCCCGAGCGGAGAATGGAGGAGAAGGGATTGCGGCGTGACCATCCCCCCGG